TGTAGTGGCATCCTAATAGCTTAGTGTGTAACAAGTACCATTGAGCTTGATCTTTCTGGGGCCTTCTTCACAAGAAGGACTTTCATTTTTGTATTTATTGAACCTCTCCATTTAGATTTTTATATCACTTATCATTGCTGTAAAATCTAAGAATATAATGCAGGGGTGGGCAAAATACAGCCCACTAACTGACTGGATCTGGCCCACGGCTGCCCCCACAGTGCTCCACATGGGGCTGAGCCCCACTTGCTCCTCCAGGATGGCCCATGCCACACTCTCGGTTGTACCTGACAGCCCAGGCCCAGATCAGCGTTCCCATGCTGCTCTGCTCCCTTCACCTTCAGTGGGAGCCACCCAGCTGAAGCTTCCTCCCTTCCCTCCGGACTGCCTGAAGTGGTGCGGCAGGGCCAGGAGCAGGAGCTGCTGCTGGAGGCAAGGGGAACAGAGCAGCACCCAGCTGGCTGCAACTGTACCAGAAACAGCCCCACTAGAAGCTGCATGCACTGGCTAGGATCTGTTCCCCTCGCCTTCAGCTGCAGCTCCTGCTCCTGCCTCGGCTGTGCCACTCCGACAGGGGGTGCAGCTTCAGCTAGATGGCTTCTGCCCCAATGTGTGGGGCTTTGGCTCTAGCTCCTGGCTGTCTTCAGCCTGTTCTGCGGTGGTTAGATCACCAGGGAACTTTCCTTGATCGACTCATTGGAAGTTCAGCTGACTGATATTCTTCTTTATACTTTCAAAATTAGTTGTCTTGTGGAGAGCCAGGCAGTGGGCATTCCAGGACATTGTTCTCTTGACTTCATATAATAAGATGATTCCCTGAATAAATGGAAAATTAGGGGATTTAACAGGTTGTGCCTGGACAGCATCACCTTCCTCCTATTGGAATGTGATGCTGTGTGAGCTTCCTCAGATGGCTTTACAAAACAGTTCTGTTCATGTGACAAGCTATTTCTTAGTCTTGCATTGGTATAGTCAGATTCATATGGTATTGGTATAGTCAGATTTATATGGCAATCATCCATGCATCATAAGAAATGCTTCTTCTGCATGGCATTTGCTAAAAATTTTGGCTAAATAAACATATTTCACAGTCTTGTGTTTAAAACACCAGAACCAAATCTGGTGTCTTGTTCTGCGTGATTTCATTGGAGTCAGAATTTGGTCTATTCTAATAAAAGGCCTGGGTTGTGTTCACTAAATCCTGGTGGTTCTTTCTTTATTAGTTAAATACAAACTACATTTATCTGTGTGTGTCTTATATGCAGCTTTTTTTTTTTAAATAAAAATAATGTTAGTAGTGGATCCCATCTTTGGCCACTGGGCTCCCTGTTTTGTCCTTCCAGGTGAAGTGAAAACCTTGATGATTCAGTTATTGCGTGGAGTGAAGCATCTTCATGATAACTGGATACTTCATCGAGACTTGAAAACCTCCAATCTACTGCTCAGTCATTCAGGCATTTTAAAAGTAAGAATACAGAGTGAATTTGATAGTCTTTTTCCCTGAAAAGGTGCTGTGTACTTCGGTCTTTTGCTGCAGTAATGCCAGCGATATTTGGATAGTATGTTGCACTCCTGTCTTTGAGAGAGCAGCTGTAACGTGGAAGAAAATTTCCTGTTCCATTCAGTATGGATGAACTCTTTACACCATCCCAAACTTTGCTAATGCTTACATGGTCACATTTAGTCACTCTCTGCATGGCAGGGGGTAAAAACCCAGGAAATTTCTGGCCCAGGGGGAGTTGACTATATAATGACCATAGTATAAGAACAGGTAATATTTGGCTTACCAGTCAAAAATCCCTCTCTTGAGACAGCAAGCAACCAAAGATTTGCAAGGTCAGCATAAATCACTTCTTCATTGTGTGTGCTTCTTGTAATCGTAGTTGTTTTTCAGCATGTGAGCTTTGGGGATAATGGCTGCAGAGTGCACACTGGCACAGGAGATGATAGGAGTTATTAGTCACATGTATAATTTATCTTTATCCAGGTTGGGGATTTTGGATTGGCTCGAGAGTATGGATCCCCTCTGAAGCCTTACACACCTGTAGTTGTGACACTATGGTACCGGGCACCAGAGTTATTACTTGGAGCCAAGGTATGCCTCATCTTGTCCTTCAGTGTGGCTTTCCAGGAGCTAAAAAGTTTTCAGGGCACTGGGGGGGGGAGCAGGTTGGTGGGTGGATTTAATTTTTCTCCTTCAGAATCTTAATTGGAGAGAACCACCAAGGTCTTGCTGTTTAAATATTAGTATTGATCTTCACTGCCATACAGGGAACTAACTTGCAGGTTTTGGATGTGGGGCTTTGGAAATTGCCTATAATACCATATTTTCTCATGTATAATGCACCCTGAAATAAAATATGCACCTTTTGGGGGTGGCAGAATGGAGAGAGATTTTTCCAGAGTTGCATAGAGCAAGCACTGAGCTAAAAGTTTGGTGAGACTGAAATAGCAGGAGACCAGGAGTAGGCATCAGACAGCAAAAAAAAAGAAAAAAAAAGTCAAACTGGTTACTGGAACATCAAGACCATTAAAAAGGAGAGATGATTGTTTACATCTGTGGAATGAAAAACAATGAGCTGTTAAGTCAATTGACTTCCTCAGCTGCCCCAAAATAAATGCCACTATTGTTGCTAGATGGTTGGTTTTGGAGTGAGAGTCAAAGTGAGGTGCTTCTATTCTGGGCAGAAAAATCAGCTTCCCTACATAAGACGTGCACCCGAAATTGGGTGGGGGGTGGTGCTGATTTTTGGGAGAGAGCTTTGTGTAGGATGCAAGAAAATATTGTATTTGAAGGCTTCAGATTGCGAGTACTTTGCTGGGCAATACTTCTATTGCAGTGCCCATTGCTGATCCCTGTTGTAAACCTGGAAGAGACGAGGGTACGTTCCCGATTAGGATTCTAGTTGGAAAATTGTGGATTGGGGAAAACGTGCAAGAATTTCAGAAGTAAGAGAGCACCTTTGCTCAGGACCCAGACTTTCACAGATCTTGAGCCAACAGAATCTGTGGACTATGGGAGGCTCTTCCAAGTGAAAAAGCAGGTTATGCTGAGAAGGGTTGGGTTGTGGACATCTGGTGTTTGACCCTAATCCAAGACTATGCAGGGGCAAAGGAGGCAAAGAGCATGGTGCTGGTGTAGGAGAGGTAGCAGCTAGATCTCTTGCCCACCGCGGCTTGCTAATTGTGACACTAGTGGTGTTCTTATGAGGTGAATGAACTGGGTGGTATTTTGGTGAGTGTTACGTTTTCAGGCTGTGGTATTTGTGTGGATGAATGTGCTCTTTTTTACCATCCGCAGTAACCTTTACTGCAGAACATACACTGATGCATACAAAGTGCATTGAAATAGTTTCACAATGTGCTTCATTTTAAGTAGTTAGCTAATTAACATTCATTGAGTTGACTCTTGGAATAGATTATTTTAGAAAACAGACCACTCTGTAAAATATCTCCTTTTCCTTTCAGGAGTATTCCACTGCAATAGACATGTGGTCAGTAGGTTGTATATTTGGAGAACTATTGACTCAGAAACCACTGTTTCCAGGAAAGTCAGAAATTGACCAGATTAACAAAGTGTTCAAGGTAATGCGCTTTATTCTCTGGGAGTAACTGATGACTTTTATAGATGGGACTGAAAGGGGAATAAGAGCAGGAAAAGTATTTGTTAAAACCTCAACTGAGCCATTTTGGCTTCTGCGATTCAGCAAATGCATAGGTTGATGTATTTGTGCTTTTATTTTGCATGCTTCATGCATTTGTGTAATGCTGAATGAGCAAGAAAGGTGCATTATGGAGGTGGGTTTTTCTATTTTTTTTCTTCCCAGGAACTAGGTACTCCCAGTGAAAAAATCTGGCCCGGGTATAATGAGCTGCCAGCTGTAAAAAAGATGACATTCACAGAGTATCCCTTTAACAACTTGCGCAAGAGGTTTGGGGCACTGCTGTCTGACCAAGGCTTTGATCTCATGAACAAGTAAGTACAAGCTACCAGCAGAACTGTGAAAAGCAAATATGTGCTGCAGAAGCTGTGTGGAATTATTTACAGCTAGGCATTACTTGCTTGTAGGCCTGTGTGAAGGTCATTGCAAGTCCCCTGGCACGGCTTTATGAGCACTCATGGTGCACTGGAGAGGTGCCGGAGGACTGGAAGAGGGCCAGTGTGGTTCCAATCTTCAAAAAAGGGAGGAAGGAGGACCTGGGAAACTATAGGCCAGTTAGTCTTACCTCGATCCTAGGCAAGCTGTTTGAGAAAATAATTCTGGCACACATCCAGGAGGGGCCAGCAGGGGACTGCATG